AGAGGGAGCTCAAAATCACTGAGTGCTTTGTGTGGCTAATTTCACAGCTGGGGCACTGCTAGCCAGTATCTCCTGTGGCTTCAGACTCCGTGGCCACTTCCTTCCCCAGCTCAACCTGGACTGCCCTGAAACCGGCGGTGAAGAGGAGAGCGGAGAGCGGAGGTGGCGGTGGAGGAGCCAGCATGTGTGGTGGGAGGGTGCTGGTGCAGCTGAGGGTGTTTCATTTCTCAGGCCCGCTTTGTTTACATGCTCCGGCAAATGCGGTTGATTCGTGGAAAAGGCTCCAGCTCAAACCGGCCCCCACGGGTTGGGTCTGTACCGGTGGTGGCTGGCGTGTTATAAGATAAAATAAGGACAGTTAAACCACAACCACTTTCAAAAGGGCACAACTAATGTGAAAGAAAATACCCATCCACAGACACAAGCAGGCGGGTGTTATTAAACATATACTTAGGCTGTGGGAAGGGGACCCCACTTTTCATATTTACAAGGCTTACTCCCGTTATCCTAGACCAGGAGATTAATAAAGCCGACCCGGCATGAGCTGCAAATTTTATGCCCAGGACTGTTCAGATCTTGCCCCTTCAGGCCATCACGATGCTGTTCTGGATGGTCAACAAACAGCATTGGGTTAATCCTTAACATTTCACCAAAATATTTGGGCTTTTCCATAGCATTTGATCTACGGAAGCCGGTACCTTTCAGGTTTCATTTTCTCAGTATAGACAGGGTGACACCTGTGTCTGTGAACCTCGCAGCATGGACAGACCATGGATTTGGGCTTTCTCCTTCGTAAGAACACGGCGTTACCAAGGCCCTACGTTCAACTGTGTCTCTGAAGGTCCTATACGGAACCATGTAAGCTTGAAAAATACTTGCGACAGCCTGAGCAAAAGCTTAACAGAGGACATGCACATCAGATAGAAGGGTGATCAGGGTTGAGTAGAAGAGGGCTGGTCAGCACTGTGAACATAAAGAGCAAATGTTGGTGTGGTACAGAGGGGTGCCCAGGCCCACAGGCTCAATCAGCACGATCCTGGGGGAAGTATGGCTGTATTGTTGGGAACAATGCTTCAGGCCTTCAGTCTCCCCTCACGGCACATGCAAATCAGACACCTCATTCTTCATGGTCTGCGCTCAGAGAGCCAACTTCTGGGAGCCTTGGCTCCCTATCACGATGGGCTGTACTCCAGGGGTTCAGTCCAGCATGCCGAGTGAGAGCTCTTTCTCGGGTTAAGTTATGGCAAGGACATCTGGTTTAGGCATCATCTGAGGGCTTGGTGTAGGACAGGACATTCTTGCTATGAGAATGCCAGTGAGTTCCTAAGGTTTTAGTCCAAAGCTAGCCCCTGGAGCTTCCCTCACCCCTTTCTCCACCATAAGAAGCTCTTCCAGGTTAGGCTCCAGCCTCCCAGAGAGCCTACCCTGTGGCATTCCTGTCATGTGGCCCATTCTTAGAACAAGCACAGATGGACTTGATGTCTCCCTTCAATCGGTGGGGTTTAGAGGCTGAAGAAAGCCAAGGTCTCTTAGATGACCATCTGGGGGTGGCCAAGCACTTCAAATCTCATGGGTTCTCCAGCCACCAGGCTAACGTGGGCTCCTCTGAATGGCCGGCTGAGGTCAATGCCTCAGACAGTGTGAGGAAGATGCCTTCTCAGGACAGACTGGATGGTGGAGACATGGGATCCCGAGGAGTTTGACTTTGATGACCTGTTTGGATGACCTGGAAACCATGCCCTCTGAGCTTTAGCTACACTGGATGACACATGTGATCTCTGTGACCCCCTAGACCAGGAGGTTAATAAGGAGGCCCCATCACCCCTAGACAATGAACCCAATTAGCCCTCTTTCAGAAAGTTCACCCTAAACTGACCAGTTCTCTCCCTTCACCTTCCTGCAATCTCTTCCCCTTTCTCCAGGGGCCCTGTCCATTCTGGAACATTCCTTTAGTTTAGAGTTGGGCAGTGAAGTCGCTTTTTCTGAAGGAAATAGGAAGTCCGACTCAGTTGTTTTTATTACCATAATCCCTCAGTGCGTAAAAGAGGAGGAGGTCACCTCAGGCAATGACAGTGGCATCTCTGAGCCCGGAGTCCTATGCGGGCTCTCTTCCTACCTCCAGGACCCCTCCACATAGAAACGTTCCTGCCGTCTCCAGGCACCTTCTGTGGCTCTGCCCACTCCGAGCCCTACAGCCCTCCTGGACACAAGATGGTAGCAGCAAAAGTAAAGGGTAAGAAACTAGATAAAAAGCTGGGGGGGGGGGGGGGGGAAATGGAGTAGAGCAAGACAGCAGCCACCAGGTACCACCAGAAATAGAGGGCAGAGCAGGAGGCCCTACCTGACGAGTGTGAAGAACAAGACAAGAAAAGCGAGGCTCTGAGAGAAGGCAAATTCCCTGGCCAAGGAGATCCTTATCTGAAATATCTGACAGAAGAGGTCCACAAGACGAGGGGGAAGGGAAGGGGTCCCTGTTAGGGTGGTCAGTGTGTGATTGTCCCTTGCACACAGGGGGCTCGTGCTGGAGCTGTGTGTTATAATAAAGTATTCTGTAGTGAAAGTAAAAATAAATAAATAAATAAATAAATCTCAATATAATTTCGTCTACTTTAATTCAAACTAGGTAAACACAAAGGTAAGGTTGTTATGCCCATATTTCAAGATCCCCAAGAACCACTAGGGAGCCGAGTCCGATGCAAAAGCAAAGAGCCTTTATTAGCCGGCCGGGCAAGTGACTAGCTGGGCGACTGCTCTGCTGTTCTCCACGCAGGGAGACTAGAGAGAGGCGTGACCCTTTGTGTAGGACCACTTTTAAGCCCATTTTCCACATCCTGTTTTTGCAGAACAAGTAACCCAAGACAAAACAGTTTTCCCCAAGCAACGTCAGAGTCATGCCATTGACGACCACGTTGTCCACGGGGTCATCCTGTTCTTCAGGAAGCTGACAGTGTTCTGTGAAAGAAGGCCCACGTGCTGGCAAGGGGCCATGAGACCGTATCTCAAGGCCTGGCCTGGTGGCAGCACTGACAACTCTCTCTGGGGCATAGTCCACGGCCTCTCTGGGAGTATGCTAAAAAATTCCCACTCTCCAACCAGATGATAGCAATTTCATAGTTGGGTCCAGACTCCTTTAGAATCACACTGAGAAGAGAAAGATACTATTCATGATAAAAATAATACAAATGTCTAGTGACCTTTTATATGTATTCACAATTCCTCTTTTGTAATTCCCACACTTTTGGCCAAATGTAAAATGAGAAAAATAAAACTAATTATTTTGATATGTTGGATTTTATTACTTTTAAAATTGTACAAAGAGCACATGTGCATGAGTTAAAAAAAAAAAAAAAAGACAAGAAAAATGTAGGGTGTTAAAAAAAAGAAATCTGAGACATGAAACAAAACAAGTCCACTCTGTGAATCCAAACAAAAAGATATTTGCTTACCAAAGAAGTGTTATGCTAATACATTAAGAAGTCCTTTGATTAGGATTACAGTATAAGACCATTCTGCAACTATTCATCAACAGGTCGGGCTCAATCTCACGAATACAGGATGGATCATGACATTACTATCTTACCAGCCACAGGCAGGTTACTAAATGTCTGTGAATATGATACAGTGTCTGTGAGGTATTACAATAAATAAACTCTTTATTAGCCAATCAATCACGTCATCAGTGATGCCACCATTTCAACTTTCCAGGCAGAGACCCCATCTCTGGTCCTTTTTGCCTCTGGTGATTCTCAGTGAGGGTTTTTCAAACTTAGAAAAGAAAAGAACACAGAAACATTTGAGATCTGTTGAAAGGAAGTATGCTACACTCTGCCTTATGTTTTTATAACAAGGTCTGTGCCGAAGATGGCTGTGTTACACTTAAAGAGCAATGGGTGTGGTCATGCAAGAACTTATTTTTAAGCACTGTAGAAAAGGATCGGCTCTTCACATGCCCACATTTCCATGTTGTCTCAGCGCCGTTGTGCAAGGAAGGGAAGGAATACGGGGCGTTGCTGATGCAGGTGCAGGGCCTGCACTGGCCAGCCTGTCTGCCACTATGCTGGCTTCCCACCGATGCTGAAATCTATCTACTATGCTTACCTTCTTTTAAAAATGCTACTGTTAGTTTATTGAGATCTAATGGACACATCACTTTATATTAGTTTCAGGTATGAAACATAATGATTCAATATTGGTATATATGACAAAAGGGTTGCCATCTTAAGTCTAGTTAACATCCATCATCATACAGTTACAACACTGTTTTTTTCCTTCTGAGAAGGACTTTTAAGATTTATTCTCTTTCCCTTCTGTGTTTAAATAATCAGTCACTGCTACTACAATTTATAATCATTAACTTCTTGTATTTCTGAGGTTGAATGTTCTTCTTTGATGGTTTGAAGGGATTTAACAACGTGCCCCCGCCTTGAGGTACATCAAGCGCTATGGCTTTGAAAGACTGGATCACATCTTCCACCTCAGAAACTCCGTCTTCCATCTCAGGCAGGGTCAGAGCGCACACTGGAACCAGACTGGATGGCCTGCGTCCTGGCTCTGCCATTCCCTATTTGGGCGACCTTGAACAGGTTACCCCCCCCCCCAACTCTCTCAGCTGCCTCAACTGTAAATGGAGACAGTAGCAATACCACATCTCACTGGCCTGCTACGCTCCTATCCTCCATAAGCTGGGTTTATACCCAAACGATGTCTGACATGGAGACATTCTGGCCAAGTAAACAAAAATCAATGCATCCTTATTTAGAAACTGGGGTCTCTGAGGTATTTTTCACACTTCACAAATTTATACCCATACAAAAAATGTTAAGACCTTTTGCACAGATTACAATATGACTGATAAATTCATGTAACTTGGAGAAATCTGTCTACAGATTCACTCACATTCTTTGAATTTTACTTGGAATCCATTCGAAGAAATGCTCCCTATTTCAGCACTTTGTTGTTACCGTTTCATTTTCAAAGACTTACTTTAACAAAATTAGGACTCAGAGCTCTAAAAGTGGCTTTTCACTGTCCTGCTTTTCTTCAGCTTCTTCAGATCCTACGTGGTAAGAAAGGGGAACAAAAAAAAAAAAGTATTGTTTTATATTAAAGTAACAAACGATACCTTTAAAATTACAATATATACACGTCATGTTTTAAATGAGAAATACATGTTTAATCCTCCAGAGATTTAGGTTGAAACTGTAACTATAAAATAAAGTCTCACCGTATTTATTGTAGGAGGAACTTTGAAACAGGATCAAAATGGATTTCACTGACATACTGTTAAAAATATTCATGCAGACCAGAAATCTATTTACCCAGGCTCTTCCTTCTCCACCTCTGTGCTGACAAGCTTATAGATGTTTTTTTAAGGGCAAATAACTGAGCTTTGGTACAAATAACTTTAACCTACATATTTTTAAAAAGTACTGCCCCGGTGAGAGCGCAGTGAGGGCTTCCTGAAGGCCACGTGGTGCCAGGTGGTCCCCCGCATGTGCTGTTCTAACCCTTCTGGGTCAGTGTCCAGAGAGCCTCACATTAGTTGTGCCCCTGACCCAATCGCTCCACTCTTGAATTATATCCTTAGGTTATAAACTTGAGGAAACAGTACTTATTTTATATCATGTAGATTTTTTTTCTTCCTCTCAAAAGTAGTGGGAAAAAGTCTAATTCTGAGAGCAGCAGTTAAAAATTCTTACATTTCCACAAAATATCTTGCTTCCATTTAAAATTACGTTTATATAGTTTATAATATGAAAAATGCATGTTATAATGTAAAAACAAATATATAATGAAAAAATTATATATATTGTAAGATCATGTTTGATAAAAATAAAACACTAAATACATATGTGCAAGTCAGAAAGACCAGGAGAGAACAACCAGGCGACGTACACACAGTCCTGGATTCCCAAAGCCTCTAGGATAAATCCACGGTGACTACACAAGTTTAGAAACAGGATATAAATAATAGAGGCTCTCTGGCCATAATTACAGATATTACAAACACAAAACTACACGGAAACAAATTAACCTGTCCACATTGAGGTTGCTGAATAGTTTGACAAACAGGTCATCTTTTATTTTTGTTCTTTCTACATATATATGTGTGTGTGTGTGTGTGTGTGTGTGTGTGTGTGTGTGTGTGTAGTAATGAATGCATTACTCTCATAGTCAGGCATCAGAAACAACAAAAAAAGCAGCGATTAGACGAAGGCAGCAGTCAGCAATACAACAAGCACACACAAAAACAACCTGCCTCCCGCTGCGGCTGCACCTGACAGGTGATGCGCTTTTCTCATGACTGTGTCCACCTGGGTTATGGCCAAAAAGAAACCCGCTCCGGGAGAATGAAAGACCAAGAATCCTAAGGCAAGATTATGTCCCACATCTTAACAACATGCATGTCACACAGGTAAAGGTGAGTTTGTGATAACTAACTAGACTGAGGCTTCACTTTCCAGCCTGTTAAACTGCTATAACGCGTCTGGACACTCCTGCTTCCTTTAAGCTGTGTGACCACACGCAACCACTTCAACCCGTCACCTGAGAGAGGACTGTGCTTCCTCATTCTTTGCATTTAATACACAGGTGAGCAGGAAATGGCTAGACCAAAAGCAAACCCGCAAACAACCTTTATATCCTCTAGAAGTACATCTACTAAATATTTTCCAAATCTCTGTGATGCTAAAATTCAAGTCATTCCTTTACAAGGAAAATGCTGACATTTCAATTTTTGGTGCCTTCAACGTTTCCCCTTATTTTCATGTATTCCTCCCATAGTTTAAGGTTAGCATGTGCCAAGCACTGTACTACTTGCTGAAGAAAAGGCAAGGCAGGTCTTGCCTCTAGGGGCCACTCAGAGCTGTATCAGGACAATAGAAGCTTATAACTTCTGCTGCTAACACACAGTTTAATATTTAGCGATTGGCCGAATGAAAAACTTTACAGAATAATCTTGGGCACGTTAATTTCAATAACAGTTTTTAATTTTAATCCTTTCTTAAATTGAACACTAAGACAATGAAAATAATCTGTACTAATAAAAGCTTAATATGCTAATTAGACCGGACTGCTGAACAACCTTCCGGAGGAACCCAGGGCTGCGAGGGCCAAGCCCCTCCCATGAATTTCATGCATCGGGCCTCTAGTATAATATAATAAACAATATAATACAATAAACTAAGGCATTCTGAATGCTCCTCTGACCACTACCACGGCTGCATTTTGTCTGAGACAAAGCAGCTCCCCAGGGGAACACAGGGAAAGGATTTGTTTTCTTGGTTAGCCTAAGCCAGTGAAATGGTAATATTTCCAACTACCACTAGGTGGTATTAAAAGTCACAGGCAGGAAGTCAATGGATTGCTTGTCGGAAAAGTGCCTGGACGGTATTCCCCATGTTATTATTCCACTGTTCTGAACTTCCAATTAAGAAAATACATTAGTGTTGACAAATTTTAATAGTCTTAGAAAAATAAACGCTATGCAAAAGCATGAACTATAGTGCAAAATTCTTATTTTTTAAAGGAACGAGTCCTATGATGCACAAACCTCAATGAAATAATCCTTATGATGAGGTAATGAAAGTTTAATGCTTATTCCAATAGTTTCTGATGGCTGAGAAACAGCTTTTCTTCTAGTTCATATATCTTATCATCTGACTCCAGGCCTTTGATTTACACTGCGTTTAGAGCCAACACCAATAGTACAGAATATCAAGTTACTTCACATTCCCCTAACATGCTGTCCCAGTGCTGTGCCTTTGATCTTCACATGGCTCTTTCTGCCTGGAGTCTATTTCACCGTGTGCGCACGTGTATGTATGCTTATTATATTTACTAAGCATGACACTGGGAATAAAATAATGGAGTCTCTAACTCAAGTTTATATCTCAGTGCTAGAAACAGGCCAGGTGCCTGCTGAAGACAGTGCAGACAATATGGAGTGACAGGGCTGTGGGCACGTCCCAAAGAATACACAAACGACAGGACATGCTGCCAACACTGCCAGGAGCCAGCGTGGGTGGGAGGAAGGGAGAAGCCTTCTGAACACATGAGTGGAGACTAGGGTTGCAGAGATAGAGTGTTAAAGATAGAAAAAAAGCAAGATGTACAATGGCTTGAGAGGGTTTTGTTTTGCTGCATTTTCAGAAAAACAAGGAAAATTAACTGACAGAGAGGCTAGACAATTGGGCAAGGGTGGTCACAGAAGTGCATTCTTCCAGGCTAAGGAATCATGACATTCTTAATCTTTGATCTCACCGAAGGCTTTTGGCCAGGGCAATAATGTGATCAATTTGTAATTTTCATTCATGTTAAAAGGCTATGAGCGTGGACTCCAGCACTAGAGCCAGTGTTCAAATCCTATCTCCAACCCTTATTCTTTGTATGATGTGGGACAAATAACTTCACCTCTCCGTGCCTCAATACGCTTATCTCTAAAATAGGGAGAAAGACTTTCACATCAGAGTGGTTATGAGAAACAATGCGACTGTTATTTTTAATACTGCTCTCTGGTGGCTGCTTGTGAGAAGGCAACTAAGGCAGGGAGAGAGGCATTGCAGAAACTGAAGCAAGAAATGCTGAATTGAAGCTCAGGGTGGAATTAAGTGGTACACATCTGATTTCACTCATATGTGGAACCTAATGAACAAAATGAACCAACAAGAAAAACAGAGGCAGACTCATAGACAGAGAGCAGGCTGACAGCTGTCAGGGAAGGATTGGGGGTCTGGGTGATGGGGGAGTGGAGGGAGTGAGCAAAGAAGAGAAAAACTCATGAACATTTACAACAGCGTGGTAACTGCCGGTGTGGAGGGGCATAGAGGGGGGTGGATATGGATAAAAGTCTCCTTTTAGGACCATTTATCCCCCCACCATTTATAGGGGGACAAATGCTGATAGGAGACTTGACTTAGGGTGGTGAACATACAATACAGTGTACCCTTGTCTTCCAGGATGCAGACTATAATTAAGCCAGTGTCTCTGGCTCTCTGTTCCACTTAGTTTTACATCTCTAGGTGAGACCGCTAATCACAGGTCAAGACCATGTCTTAGTTGTTCTCATATCCGAAATAACTGATATGCTAAATGTTTGCTAAGTGTTATGAGAAGCAGAGGGAGAGAAGCAGAGGGAGAGACAGCGGACTGAGCATCTGAATAACAGACAAAACCATAAATGATAATCACACTTTTTTACCTGCTTCTGATTCGGGGGGAGAATAGAACTGGCCATCGGAAAGACACCCGGGGATAAGGGCCGCCCTCTCGGAAGCATCCTGAACTATCAGGAGTCCTGAAAGAGAGGAGATTCAGACTGGGATGGTGCGCATTCTGGCAGCTTCTGGCAAGGCTAACCACAATACGATGATGTTAATATTACATTTAAAAACAAGTGTTAGCCAAAGAGATACTTTGAAAATATTTCCACCAAAATATAAATGTTATTAATAAACTGTGAACCTGTACTGTAAGGACAGATTTCAACTAGTTTTAAAAACGGCCCTGTGTGACTCATGTGATTCTTTGACTCGGTATTTACATCATCTTCTTTTAAGAACGGCTTTCCCCCTACAGAGATCAACATCAGAACCAAATACAAGGCAAAACAGAAAAACCGGTCAGCTCGTACAAGTGGTCTGCCAATCTGCTCTCCTTACACTATCAGCTTCACTCATTAAAGAACATGACACCACGATCTGCTAACTTCAGCCACCTGCACCTTCATTCAATTATGACACCCATAGCTCTTCCTTCCAGCTCAACACCTAGCCGGTCCCAGGAGGCCAATGTGGAGAGGAACTTACTGTTTTCTTCTTCTGCCTCTTGAGGTAACACTTTGAAGTCCAGAAACCACGTCTCGATCCAGGCAAGGATGAATGAAATGATGGGCAGCACATAACCAAAAGCCCCTTGAGAGAAGAGCTGGAAGGACAGATGTGAGTAGCAGACGGAAATCCAGTTACCATGAGCTCAGAGTGGAAAACAAGGCTTGGTTATTATAGACTAGTGGCCTGGTGCACGCATGATATTTGTGCATGGGGGCAGTGGGTGGGGGTGTCCCTCAGCCCAGCCTGCACTCTCTCCAATCTGGGACCCCTTGGTGGATGTCCAACTGCCGGTTTAGGCCCAATCCTTATGGCCTAAACTGGCAGTCAGACATCCCTCTCACAATCCAGGACCGCTGGCTCCTAACCACTCACCTGCCTGCCTGCTTGACTGTCCCTAACTACTCTGCCTGATGTTCTGATCACCCCAATTGTACCCCCTTCCAGTCTAATCACCCCTAACTGCCCCATCTTCCAGCCTGATAACCCCTAACCACCTTTACCTCAGCCCTGGCTTTTTCCAGAAGGTCTCCTGGTTTAATTAGCATATTACCCTTTTATTAGTATAGAAGAATAATATAGTATTGTTCAGAAAAAATGGTAGGCCATACCTTTGAGAGGATAACTTTTGCTAGTAAAAAGGCACTGGTCACTGCTGTCGTCAACTGAAAGACACAAAAGTCGGCACCATTCAAATTAGACATTGAACATTGTAGAGGCACCTTCCTTCCTGAGCCAGAAGTACACAATGCCCGAGAAGCTACACCCAGGCTGGCTCCTTCCCACATCGCTATCTCTATGCCCTGAACCCAGACTGTGGAAAGTGGACTTCTATGTGACACACAATCCCTGACTGGCTCTTATGGCCTCCTTTCTCCATCACTTAGCAAGCTGGTGTGTTGGGAAACTAAATTTTATCCAAAGGCACTATCACCACAGAAGAAAGGAGAGTGAAATTCAGAGGCTGGGCTCCTGGGATTGGGGTTGTGATTATCCCATAGGACTCAGCCCTAGTCACTCTGACATCCAACTAAGATTTGTAGCAATATGAAACCTGACCAAGGCAAATGCCATATAGTCGCCTTGATTGACAGAATGGAGGTCAGGGGACATCAGATATCATGCTTAGTGAGTATTAACAAAGTTGCAAAGTAGGTATTTATTAGCAAAATACCACCCCCCTCCAATACACACACATACACACACACACACACACACACACACACACACACACACAGCAGCTAAAGGGAGTCACTTGGAGAGAAAGCATTTTACCTTCTGATACTAATTTACTTTACAGGCTGAACTAAGTTTAGGTACAAGCTGACTTCTTCCAGCTGCCTGGACCCTTCTCTACAACTGTTTTTCAAAATAAAAAACAGAAATGATAAAATGAATATATGCTAAATCTGACCTGTCCTCTTGATAATTTACAATTAGATATTGAAGATACTTTCTTAAAACTCTCACAGAATGCCAACCATTTTTCCTGAAAACAAACACAACACTGAGACAGTTGGATTGACAAATACTAATGCACGTTACAGAGAATCAAATAGAGACTATTTTAGAAAATTGGGAAGGGACAATCATCAGCTATTTGGTATTGCCAAGAGCTACTTCATATTGAAGGCTGGAGTCAAGTCCGGCTAAAACTGTCAGCCCATATCAGTGAAATGCAAGCTTAGGGCTCAATGGATGGTCTGACGATTCTGTGGATGCTCAGGAGAGATGGCCCAGGCAAAGGTGCCCTGATGGATTCTGTCTTAGGAGTGCTGGACAAGCCTGCGCAGGCCCACACAGACCAAGGTTTCACACTCCAAAGCAGACCTGCAGGCTATTCCTAAGCAGCATTCCCCTCCCTCATATACCTGCCTTATTAGAGCTCTCAAAAAGGTGAGTGTTCAGGTATCTGTGGAAATAGAAAAATTGCTTATAATTCTTCTTTCAATCAATCAATATTTATTTAGGGTGAATAGTATGTGTTCTATGCTGGATAAAAGGAGACAGAAAATGAGTAAAAAGGCCACTGCCTTTAAGAAGCCTAAGGCAATAACAAAAAGGAACATGAGAGCATTTCCCTTTAAGACAGGAGGAAGGGGAATAAAACAGGGAGGAAGGCAAATATCAAAATGAGCAGAGAGAAAGTCATGAACAATCACTAAGCAGTTTCAATCAACAGGAAATTTTTTAAATATCTTTGTGACAGAGATACTGATCTTATGCCTCATTATACAATGAGGTAGAGGGAGGGTTGGTGCTTGGCCAGTAATCCAATTGGGCCTCTGGATTTCTGAATTGGCTCAGTATCCATATAGATAAAGCTAGTTAGTCATTACCATTGGAAAGAAGCTAAACTGTTGGAAGGTAGAGGAAAGGGGACTCAGGAAAAGCTAGTAGAATTCAACCGAAATGAAAACTGCCTCTTCTCCCAGCTCAGCCCTGCTCTGAGTAGGCCCTAGCCACCTGCACTGGAGGAGGCGAACCATTCATCCAGGTATACTCACTGCTATTGCCCACCAATGGCGCAGTCTGCAAACAGCGTAGGCGAGTATTAACACTTTGAACCGAAAAACTGCCAAAAGCTATATTAAAAAAAGAAAAGACAAGTTTTTAAAAATATGTACAAAAGAAGAGTAACTTAGTTTTATGAAGAACCCACTAGTCTACAGACCAGCATTTGAGATCCCTGCTCTAGAATTTGTGTAGTACCACCCAAATAAGGATTCAACTCAACTTGTCATTCTCGACAAAAGAACATAAAATTAAATGTTTGTTTTTCCTTTCTACTGAGGTCCACATATATTTCCAATTCCACTTCAGGGACAAATGCTCACTTCTGGAAAACAGCAGGATTTTAGTCAAGTCTACGGTAAAGCTCTGGGTTACAGGGGTATTGGGAGAGTTCAGCCTATCCCAGTAGTTCCTATCTGTTTATTTGAGATGGTTCTGGGACTTTTGTGAAACCCTTTGTGAGTATGATTATCCCATGTAATCCCCACCACAACAACTACATGAGTCAATTACTATCATTAATCTTATCATACAGATTAAGATGACTAGAAATATTGTTCAAAACCACACAACTCCTTATTGAGAAAGCCAAGATTTCAATCCAGGTAACCTGACTTCAAAGACCAGACTCTTAATCACTATACTACAGCTATCTCAGTAACTCTCATCCGCTAAGAAATAAACATAGGTTAAAAGTTTACATATCAGAAAATATGTTTATTCTGAGTTGGACCCTTGAGACTCAGGGTAGAAGTCTGCCAAAAGTTCCTCACCAGTCAAAACAGTTAAAAGGCTGCAGGCTGAACATTTTGCTGCCATTGACTAGATAACCTCACTTAAGATTCTTTTACATAAATGTACTTCAAAAGAAATATCATAAGATTTGGGAAATGACATGTTCTGTCACCAACTTCAATGACCTAGACTAGGTCAAGACACAACCATGAAACACAATTTCTTCATTTGGAAAAAATAAGGGGACTACATTGTATTAGTGTTTTCCAAATATTTGGTAGCATTCAAACACTTTTTCAACCTAATGTACAGAATCTTAACATACTAGAAGTTAAAATGAATTTGGGAGAATTCACTGTGAATTTTAAGTGCCTACGCTCTGTCTACACATAAGAATGAACTCTTACATACTGTATAGATAAATATGGAACTGGTCGGGTTTTGAGGGGGTGATAACAAGGGAATCCTGATCTCTACTTATTGGCAATCCCACTTTGTTCCCCAGACAGACTTATTCAGGCCCTTTCAAAAAGGAAATAAGACTTCTAGAGTACTTTGAAAACATTAGAAAATATAATCCTTAAAATTTTCAACACAAATAATGATAGTGATTGCAGATCCTGAGCTCTACCTATCATTGGATTATGTGTTTTCCATGTATGATTTCATTTACTTCATTTGGAAAAATAAGGGGATTGCTACATTGTATTAGTGTTTTATTAGAATGATGATGATGATGATGATCTCATTTTAAATACTAAGGAAACTGAAACTTTGAAATAATTTATTCAAAGATATACAACTAATAATAGTGTTATGAATCAGGTTTTCTGACTTTAAGGATTCTACAGTTTCTAAAGACAGTGAATAAAGAAGTTAAAATGAGTTTGGGGGAATTCACTGTGAATTTTAAGTGCCTATGCTCTGTCTAACACAATGTTAGTATCTGATCTACTTACATCATAAAGAGATATACCAGGGAGATGTGTCAAACCCAACCAAAGTGTGTTTTAAATCCAGCAGGCATGGCTCAGTGGTTGAGCACTGACCTATGAACCAGGAGGTCATGGTTCAACTCCCAATCAGGGCACATGCCTGGGTTGCAGGCTTGATTCCCAGTGGAGGGCATGCAGGAGGTAGCCAATCAATGATTCACTTTCATCACTGACATTTCTATCTCTCTCTCCCTCTCCTTTCCCCTCTGAAATTAATAAAAATATATATTTTTAAAGGTGTTCTAGAGACACTGCAAGAATTCACTTGAATAAATTAATGCCTCATCTACAGATAATTGCATCTGTAATTCTACAACTGACTAATGTTACCCAAGATTACCAATATAAAACTTTCCCAAATTATATTAGAGAAAAATGAAACAGATTTATTATTGAAAATATACTGAAAAGAAAATGCATTATCATGATGTTGTTACATAAATAGGTAAGTTTTCCTTTTAGTGATGGGTGCCAATGGCTTCTAGTTCACTTATTTGAAAAAAATAAAGGCTTTTCTCTAAGAAAATCAGAAAGGCTTCTTCTGCTGCCTTTCTTGTATCTTTTATTATCTTGAAATGACCAGATAATTCCTTAGAAAGAGGTAAAGAGAACATAGAACGGGTTGTAGTGTTCAAGGAAGGAAACAAATAGAACTACATAGAATATGAGGTTTATTGGGAGGAAATTTGCCTTTTGGTTAGTTTCATCATATCTGAAATAAACGATATAATAGAAAATACTTACAAATATATCAAAATAAGAAGAGTAGAAATCATATTGCACCACTTCCTTCTCTAACGTGTTCTCAATGCCTCCATTCACCTACGAAGGAGAGTAAAAGGTAAAAACAAAATGGTTTATGTGTGAAAGTAATACAAGAGAGTACGTATGGAAGACAACTGGTCAAAGTTTATCTCTCACAGTGATGTCTCTCTCTCTCTCTCTCTCATCAAAAAACATATCCTCAGGTGAGAAAAAATAAAATAAAATAAAGGGAGCAGACAACTTCTGCCTGGGAGGAAAGCATCTGGAAGAGTTTATCTTGTATTGTTGGTAAGATGAAAACAGAACCAAGGCTTTGGGAGAAAACAGGTATGTTGGGTTAAATAAAATATATTATTAAAATTAATTTCACCTATTTACTTTTATTTTCATTAAATAAATGTAGCAACTAAAAAATTTAAAATTACATATGAGGTTTGCATTATACTTCTATTGGATAGTACTGATCTAGACCAATTATTTTCAACCAGAGGGCTGCAAGAATTTTAAAAACAAGCAATGTCTGATTATTTAATCAGAGGTATTGACTTTTCTTTTAGATTGTCAAATGAAAAAAAATTACAGCTTAGTCGGTTCGGCTCAGAGGACAGAATGTCAACTTGCAGACTGAAGGGTCCCATGTTTGATTCTGGTCAAGGGCATATGCCCAGATTGTGAGCTCAATCCCCAGTAGGGGGCATGTAGGAGGCAGCCAATCAATGATTCTCTCTCATTGATGTTTTTATCTCTCTCCCTCTCCCTTCATCGTTGAAATCAATAAAAAAAATATATATCTTAAAAAAATTATAACATCCAACACACTAGCTGTCCTGTGTGTGAATTAAAATTATACCTGTTTGTTTTTGTTTTTTTGTTAGACTGGCAAAAAATATATTTTTTTGGTGAACCACAGAATTTTACTAATTAGTTTATGAGTGGTTGAAAATCATTGATCTATATAACTAACTGTTAAGTCAAAATATAGACAAACCTCCAAATGGTTCTATAATATTTTTATAACATATAATTAATAATTTCTTTGCAAAAAGGTAGAGTAAATAACATGCAAAATCTTAAGTATGGGAATTAGAAAAGAAGATGCAACATCTAAAACATATTAGAGAAGCATGCTACATTTTTACGGAACAAGGATCAGCAATCTATTTTCTGAAAAGGGTCAGGGAATAAACATTTTTGCCTTTGTGGGACAGAAGGACTCTGTCACAAATACACAACCACTCAGCAGAAAAGCCAGCCATAGACAGTAAGTAAACAAATGGGCAGGGCTGTGTTCCAATAAAACTTTATTTACAGAAGCAGTCCAGCTCAATTTGACCCCCAGGCTACCGTGTGCCAAATTTCACTATAATACAAAACACCATGAATTCAAATTCCAAAATCCCAGACAAAATGAGTTTTAAATTAACAAGGTTTGGTTTAAACAGTAAAGAAAAAGAAATGCTCAATTCAGCTGGAGATCAATATAGCCTCATTTGGGGGAAAAAAAAAAAAAGAAAAGAAATAGAAATTATGTTTAAAAAAGAAAGAAAGAAAATGGTTTTGTCTCTGGAAACAATTCTTACACTGTTAAAGGAAAAGAACACTTACATTTAACTCTATTATCCACAGTAATGTTACAAATAAGAGGTCAAAGGTGACAAACAAACAGAAAGTCCTCCTGACATCAGATATTCCTTTCTTTTCCCTTCCTTCATAGGACTCAATCCTGGCCATGAGCTGTGTAGGGTTGATGGAATGGACGTCGCGCAGAGAAGCGCGAGAGCTCTGGCTCCCGGTGAGAGCATTCTCCATGTCTGCTGGCAGGGAGCTCATCCTGGAGGGGAGTTACAGGAGCCTTTTTCCAACTTCACCATCCCTAGAGGGAAGAGGCCTGTTGGGGATTGAAAGAGAGACACCATGTCAAATCAGAGCTCACCCAACATCTCAGCATTACCCCCGCCTCTGTGCAACTGTTTCTCTAAGGGAGCACAGAGTATCTGAAAGGAAAACACTTATGTCTTGATGAAGACATAGAGAGAAAGTGAAAGAAGAAGCAATTCTTAATGTTAACAATTAATTCTACAAAATAGCTGTATGAAAAAGAATTTCAATAGAGAAAAAAATGCAAGCGTACAGTGGGACAGGATGTTAACCCCAACCAAAAGGTGTGCCTGGTAACCTGGAGAGGGCCCGCTGGTGAGCAAGCCAAGCCAGTTCTCTTGCTGTGCCAAGAAGAAAACCTCTACAATTCTGTCATCACCCACAGGCTAGGAAAACTTAACTGAATAGCTTCCCAGAGAGCATGCAACCAGAATGCATAAACTATAAAAATGTGTACCCTAGAGAGGAATTGCTTTCCACCAAAGGTTATCTAGTAAACTAAAGTTCGTATTTCCCCATCACCTCTTAAGGAATAAGCATGTTTCTGGGCTTCTTCTTTAAAAAGAAATGGGCACACTGCAACAAGTTCAGCACACATAAATGCCCCACTGGTAATTACAGTAGTTCACACTCAGTAGTTACAGAACCTCCCCTCCTCCCCCAAGGCCAGGATGTACTTCTATAGTAAAAGTAAAAGATCTAGTACTATAAATGATTTGATGTCCTTATGGAGGAGGCAAAGTCATCAAGTAGAAGGTACGGTGGATGGTAATTGTTTACCAAATTTTCCAGTTTCCCTGCCTATGGGAAGATTATGTTATATACCCGTGCTCTATTAAATACATGTGCCTTTCTTTGGCCAACGTAATGTGGACAGAAGTTTGTGTCATTCCAGATCTTAAGAACAAGTGCATGGTTTATCATGCTCTCGTTTCTTTCTGCCACCATGACTAGCAATGTCCAGATAAAGAAGACCATTTTCAAGATGGGTAAAATAAAATTTCTAAACATTACAAGAATTCCCCTCTGTCTCTTTACACTTGAACCTCATTTCTCTCCCTTCTCACATTCAAAAACGAAAGTCCGTTCCACATTTTCATACAATGTGGTGATAAAATGACATTTTGAAAACAATTTGGTTATATGAACTAAGATACTTTAAGACATCTATATTTCTTGATCTAGTAACCCTACCTCAAATCTAACAGAAATTAAATGTGGACCTTCAAGATAAAAGTTGATCTATGTCATTAGATGTGGGGTTAGTGATTGCCTTTGAGAAAGAGGGAGGGAAGAGTGACAAGGGGCATGGGCATGGCCAACTTCTGTTTCCTGGCCTGTGTAGTGCTGATGTGGCTCTGCTCACTTAGTAAAAATTTACTGACATGGGCAGTAGTTTCAGTGGTGTGTTGACTTGTGAAAAATTCAAATGCTTACATGTATACATACATGAATTCGATAAGTTATCTTTCAATAAAAGTTTCTATCAAAAAATATTTTATCATAATATATCAATAATAATACCAAGTAGAATACAACCTAAATATCTAATAATAGGAAAGTAATTAGATAAGTCATAATATAGCTATAACACAGTCATTAAAATACTTATAAAACATTTGTAATAATTTAGAAAATGCTTGTGTTATAATAACTAGATTAAAATCTAGCTACTAAATGGAATACATACATATACACAGTATGATCACAACTTTGTAAAGTAGAAAAACCGTATGTTTAGAAGAATGTACCTATGAAATATATCATATATTAATACTGATTATATCTGATTGATAAGATTATATTTTCTCCTCCTTTTACTTTTTCCATATTTTAAAAACAATTCTTTATTGTTGAAAATATAGTGTGGACCAAACAGGGCCAGGTATTAACCCTGACAAGCTCAGGAAAGGCCTACATGTGGACTTACAAACTCAGAAACCTAAAGGAATCACAGAGGATGGTCTGAAATTAAAACCTTTTAACTAAAAGCAGTGTATAGCAGGTAGTCATGTCCTAGGCTAGAATATGCCCTGACAAAAGTCAATCTTTACCTTAATTCAGCTGCCTATTTTCTTTTTGCATCTATGATAACATTACTTTGGAATATCAGAGTAATTTCCCTTTTACCAGACCCTCATGGCACAAATCCTCTTATTGTTATTGAGTTAATTGTTGACTGTCAACTATACTGTACCTACCTATGTAAAAAAAGCAAGTGTCTACGTTTTACTTTTTATCCATTCCCAGAATTCCCACCTAACCCCAGCCCCTGCTCTGCTTTCACCAATCTCCCTAATCTATTACCAATGGATTCCATGTAGCCCACTTACGTTTTCGCTTTTGATTGTAATGTATAGAATATGATGCAAAACTGCCGTTCTTTGGAACATTTTCTCAATCCAATGTCCAGTTTGGCTCAAATAAACTCATAAAAATTCTCTGCAGGTTTGAAAGCTTCTTATGTTGACAACAGTTTACTGAGACCTTTAACAGACCACAAACTCCTTAATCTTGCCTAATTTAGCACATGACTTATTTTATCTACTTCTCCAGTTCCACTTCACCATACTAAAAATTACAAGCAGCTTCCTTAAAAAAAAAAAAAAAAAAAAATCATTCTCTGGAACCTCTGTTTCTATTTTTCTCTCCACATGGAGTGCTACTCTCTGTACCTCTATGGCGCTTACTCTTCCTATCAGCCTTAACACAAAGGTCACTTTCTTAGGGAAACTTTATTCCTCCTACTCTGTCTTCCATACCTATCAGAGAATAGTGTATGCCAAGCATGTCAAGCTCAAAGGCTAACATGGGCCAACTATTTTGAGAGAGAGAGAGAGAAACATTGATTGATTGATTGATTGCCTCCCATACAGATTGAACCTGCAACTTTTGGTGAATGGGATGATGCTCCAACCAAATGAGCCACCTGGCCAAGGTTAGGCAAAAATTTTTAGTAAACGCTAAAAATTATTAAAAGTTTGTTAGGGCTCAGTGGAAACCGGTTTGGCTCAGTGGATAGAGCATCGGCCTGTGGACTCAAGGGTCCCAGGTTCGATTCCAGTCAGGGGCATTTACATTGGTTATGGGCACATCCCCGGTGGGGGGTATGCAGGAGGTGGCTGGTCGATGCTTCTCTCTCATCGATGTTTCTAGCTCTCTGTCCCTCTCCCTTCCTCTCTGTAAAAAATCAATTAAATATATTTTTAAAAAAAGGAATATTTTATGTATGTAAATATATTTACAAAATAAATATATTTAGACATAATGTGCATATAATATTGATAACGAAGAAAAGAAAATGTCATGAGAATAACTTTGCATATTGGAACTAATCAATCCTGTTAAGCTAGAATGCAATCCTTCATTTTAGTCACATTCTGTGATTTTGCCTTTATAAATCCTTTCTTTGTTCTATTCAGAGAGCGTTTTGGGTTGCTAGCTGAATTTGCATCTCAGCAATCCTTTTGCTCATATAAATTGCCTTTTGTTCTTTCTTACAGCTTGAACCTCTTCTTGGGTTAACAGTATATATTATATAAGCATATACAGTACATATAGGTATGGAAGAGAGTAAAGACAAGTTTTCACTACAAAAACAAAATCATTAACTTTGCTATTTAGTATCAGTCAGTGGTCAGCAAACTGCTGCTCAGCTCGAGAGCCACATGCGACTCTCGAGGCATGGCTTGCCACTCTGTTGACTAATGAGTTTGCCGACCACTGGTATGAGCCTATAAAAGCACAGAGCAAGGAAACAGAAAAATCCTAGAAAATCTCTTAAATAATTCTACAAATAGAATGATCATGGATTTTGTACACATCTTTGTTATTGTACTTTGTTATTACTCTACCGTATACAGCAGTTTGAGAGGCCATGGCAAATTAAAAGGAAAACCTATACTAATTAGATTTCTGGGTATCCAAATCATTCTGCCTTTTTTATAACTACTAAGGCCTGGTGCATGAAATTAGTGCATGGGAGCGGGGTCCCTCAGCCCAGCCTGCACCCTCTCCAATCTGGGACCCTTCAAGGGATGTCTGACTGCCAGTTTAGGGCACCCCCTGTGGGATCAGGCCTCTCGCTCCAGGTCCTCTGGTTCCTAACCACTCGCCTGCCTGCCTGATTGTCCCTAACTGCCTCTGCCTGCTGGCCTGATCACTCCTAACTTGCCCTTCTGCCAGCCTGCTTGACCTTGTCTTGCCCCCCTGTCAGCCTGATTGCCCCTACCTTGCCCCCTGCCAGCCTGCTTGACCCTGTCTTGCCCCCCTGTCAGCCTGATTGACCCTAACTTGCCCCCCTACTGGCCTGTTGACCCTAACCACCTCAGACCTTGGCCTAAGCTGCAGTCTGGCCTCCCTCTGCGGGAGGCAAATTGGCAGATCAGGGGCAGGCACCGCCCCCATGACCCAGCTGCTGCTGTCATGCTGGCCTGAGTGTGGGTCCTTCGCAGCTGTGCCTCAGCCCTCACAGCCACTGCAGCTTTGTCCAGAAGGAGGTCCAGAAGACATCCACCCTAATTAGCATATTACCCTTTTATCAGTATAGATTCAATCACCTAGACTTACGTGGAGATTTGATTATAGAAGTTAAAGACTTCTAATTTGTGACTGCAGAATAGGAGTCACTCTGTCTGAATTTTGAGCCAATGTCAATGACCTGGATAAATGAGTAATCATTAACATAAAATAATAGGACATTTTAATGAATATTGAGGTAGGAGTTCAATCAGGTCATCAGCTTTCAGCACTCCTGGAGATGACAGTGGGAGAATAGAAGTAGATGATAACAGAGAAGGTAACAACAGGCAGGGGACATTATACTCCATGATAAAGACTCTGCATGAGATAGAAAGCCAGTGGAAGGTTTTGAGTAGAAGAGAAACATAATCCAGCTAAACTTTAAGAGGCTCTCCAGCTGAGAACCGTAGAAGTGGCAGTACCAGTTAGTG